TACAATTTCTATACCAGTTTTCAATTGTTCTTGCATCTATCTATTGCTAATGTATTGGACTGAACAAATTTATGATACTCTAAAAAAATTTAAAGTAAGTAAGTAAAATTTAAAGATTTCTTTATCACATCGGGAAAGAAGTTAGGTTAAACCAATACAGGCAGTCCATAAGATATGAACAAGGTAAGTTATGTAGGTTTGTTCTTAAGTTGAATTTGTTTGTAAGTTGGAACAGGAACATGTTTTAAGTGTAACTCCAGCCAAATATATACACACAAATATAAGCTTTGGATAGCATACAAAAGGGTTAACACCCCTGTAAGATTTGTTTTGCTGTCTGTGCCCCTGTTCAAATTTCACCTCACTTTCTGTCCCTGTAATAACTGGATTTTGAAAAATGTGGCTTGTTGCGGAAACAAAGATTGGTGAGAAAGCTTCAGTGGAGACCCCTTCTTCCCATGGTCACTCTTTTAGGAGTGAATTTCCCTTCTTGGGAGCAGATTATTCTCACTTCCTGTTGTCTCACTCCCATTCTTAACTATGAGGCATTTTAAGTCAGATGTTTGTAACTCCTATTTGGTTGGCTGTGTTATTAAAAACTGGGATTCCAAAATCCACAACCTGGAGGGGTCTGATCAGATGGCCATGGAGGGTCCTGACAGCTGATGACATTTGCCCCATATACACATTTGCACAAACACTCAGAGGGGGACACAGGATTAATCTCATTACTCCTCTGGGTGGTTGGCACAATCATCCAATGACCATTCTTCCCAACCAGTACTGAAGCCTTCCATCCAACAATAAATTAATCCCTGGCCAATCCCAAAGATCACTGAGTTACTGTGAATGGTGTGATCCACCAGATGTTAACTGCCACTTACCGTATATACTCGAATATAAGCCGACCCGAATATAAGCGGAGGCACCTGATTTTACCACAAAAAACTGGGAAAATGTATTGATTAGAGTATAAGCCGAGGATGGGAAATGCAGCAGCTATGGGTCAGTTTCAAAATAAAAATAGATACCAATAAAATTGCATTAATTGAGGCATCAGTAGGTTGACTGTTTATTAATATTTACATAAAACCGTAAGATAAGACTTTCCAACTCTGACTAAACCATTATTCTAACCTTCTTCAATGTACATATCCTTCCAATAATAACAGAATATAATAATAAATGTAATAATAATAATAATAAACCTTTATTTGTACCCCGCTACCATCTCCCGAAGGACTCGGTGCGGCTTACAAGAGGACGAGCCCAAATACATCAGTAAAACAACAACAACAACAACAACACAACAATCAATGAACTCATAAACAAGCAGTAAACATCAACAATAACACCACAACGCATTAAAATAACCTATGGCAGGGCCAAGTGTAATAATTAAAATTGTTAAAATGCTGGGCATGACCAGGTGAAATAGGATAGGTATTTTGAAGATAATAATAATAAAAATATAGCTAACCTATAAATGTAATAATAGTAATAGTAATAATAATAGAGTAAAATAATAAATAACCTTGACTCGAGTACAAGCCGAGGGGAGCTTTTTCAGCCTTAAAAAAGAGCTGAAAAACTAGGCTTATACTCGAGTATATACAGTATTTATGTTCATATTCTTCTATCCCGCCCTTCTCCCCACAAAAGGGACACTTCCTTCATCCGCTGTGTTCAAATTGAGGACCTTTCCACACAGCCATATATAACCCAGATTATCAAGACAGAAAATCCACAATATCTGCTTTGAACTGGGTTATCTGAGTCCCCACTGCCATATAACCCAGTTCAAAGCAGATAATAATGGATTTTATAATGCTTTGCGGAAAGGGCCAGAAATGCCTTAGACGGGGAACCCTGATGCTCGGATTGTGGTTTTGAAGCATCAAGTGTAGACAGTTGAAGAAGGGTAGAATATATTTCGCCAATGGTAACAGACATTGCCTGATTGGTAAAGAAGACAGCACTTGGGGTTGAAAACTGGGGCCCGAGGGTGGCGGATCAAGCAGCAAAAATACTCACGCCATGAAGAAATTAGGTCTGTGTTATATGAGGCTTTTATGTCTTTATCAGAGGCAACTATGACAGTATTTTTAGTGCCTAAATACCCTTAAAGGCACCGATCCCATCAGATTTTGGTAGCCAAGCAGGGTCAGTTTTGGCAGGCTACTCTGGATGTGTCCAGAGGAGGGCAACTACACCTGGAATATTGTGTCCAATTCTGGGCACCACAATTGAAGAGAGATATTGACAAGCTGCAATGTGTCCAGAGGAGGGTGACTAAAATGATCAAGGGTCTGGAGAACAAGTCCTATGAGGAGCGGCTTAAGGAACTGGGTATGTTTAGCCTGAAGAAAAGAAGGCTGAAAGGAGACATGATAGTCACGTGAGAGGAAGTCATAGGGAGGAGGGAGCAAGCTTGTTTCTGCTTCCTTGGAGACTAGAACAATGGCTTCAAACTACAGAAAAGGAGATTCCATCTGAACATGAGGAAGAACTTCCTGACTGTGAGAGCCGTTCAGCAGTGGAACTCTCTGCCCCGGAGTGTGGTGGAGGCTCCTTCTTTGGAGGCTTTTAAGCAGAGGCTGGATGGCCATCTGTCAGGGGTGCTTTGAATGCAATTTTCCTGATTCTTGGCAGGGGTTGGACTGGATGGCCCATGAGGTCTCTTCCAACTCTATGATTCTATGCTTGGAATATTTTCTGGATTCCAAATCTAACTTTTATGGGGTCTCTTCCAACTCGGCTGGCGGGGACGAGGAGCAGGGCCTTCAAGGCTGTGGCCCCTCGCCTATGGAACACACTCCCAAAGGAGGTAAGATCCGCTCCCTCGCTCCTGACCTTTAGAAAAAAATTTAAATCATGATTCTGGGACCAGGCCTTCGGACAATAGATGTATGCAGCTTTTAGTGGGACAAGGACTGGAACCAGGCCCGTAGCCAGGATTTTGTTTCGGGGGGGGGGGGGGGGGGCTGAATTTTTTTCAGGGGGGGTTAGGGGGGGTGAGTTTGGGGGGGGGGCTGAGTCTGAGTGAAAGAGGTTCTACCCTAGCAAACCTTTTGTATCATTACCTCAATACCCCCATGCATATGGGATATATTGAGTATGGTGATCAGATCATGATATCAAGAAACATAACAGTTTAAATAATGCACCAGTAAGGCTTTTTCGCGAACCACCATGGAGAATTGGGGGGGGGGGGGCGACTTGACTGATGAGATTGTTTATGGTTTTAATAACTGTTTTGATATTTGGTGATGTACTGTTTTTAATATGATTTATGTTTAAAGTGTGGTTTTACTATTGTAGTTGTAAGGCATTGAATTTTTGCCATTATCTATGTGTAAACCGCTTTGAGTCCCCCTAGGGGTGAGAAAAGTGGTATATAAATACTGAAAATTAATAATAACAATAATAATAATGATGATGATGATGATGATTCTATGGAGGGCAAATCAACAAGCAATACCAGGTGCCGTAGGATATATTTCAGAGAAAGGAACTGGATAAAATCACATCTGCCTATGGGCTCATCCACACAGCAATTTTTATTTGTCGTGTCAGAGCGAACCAGTCCATTATATTACATTTCTAACAGAACAAAGCAAACAAACAAACAGACAAATACAAAACTTGTGAGTTTGGTAGTTGGTTAAATGTCCTTTGACCAGTATCTGGCCACTTGGAGTGCCTCTGGTGTTGCTGCAAGAAGGTCCTCCATTGTGCATGTGGCAGGGCTCAGGTTGCATTGCAGCAGGTGGTCCGTGGTTTGCTCTTCTCCACACTCGCATGTCGTGGATTCCACTTTGTAGCCCCATTTCTTAAGGTTGGCTCTGCATCTCGTGGTGCCAGAGCGCAGTCTGTTCAGCGCCTTCCAAGTCGCCCAGTTTTCTGTGTGCCCAGGGGGGAGTCTCTCATTTGGTATCAGCCATTGGTTGAGGTTCTGGGTTTGAGCCTGCCACTTTTGGACTCTCGCTTGCTGAGGTGTTCCAGCGAGTGTCTCTAGATCTTAGAAAACTATTTCTAGATTTAAGTCGTTGACGTGCTGGCTGATACCCAAACAGGGATGAGCTGGAGATGTCTCTGCCTTGGTCCTTTCACTATTGGCTGCTACTTCCCGGCGGATGTCAGGTGGTGCAATACCGGCTAAGCAGTGTAATTTCTCCAGTGGTGTAGGGCGCAGACACCCTGTGATAATGCGGCATGTCTCATTAAGAGCCACATCCACTGTTTTAGTGTGGTGAGATGTGTTCCACACTGGGCATGCGTACTCAGCAGCAGGGTAGCACAGCGCAAGGGCAGATGTCTTCACTGTATCTGGTTGTGATCCCCAGGTTGTGCCAGTCAGCACACAGCAATATAACCCAGAATATGAAGGCAGATAATCCACAATGTCTGCTTTGAACTGGATTATCTGAGTCCACACTGCCATATAACCCAGTTTAGTGTGAATTTTAGACAGCTATGTGGAAGGGGCCTAAAAACTCTTATGAAAAACTGAAGGGGTCACTAGAAGTCAATCGGAAATTTGGAGCTTATGATGACTTTCTGTTGCTCGAAAAGAAAACAAATTGTACAATGATTCACTCTTGCCTGTCCCTATTCCTGGAAACAGTATGACGCCATCAACACCGCGCTGGACTCTACAAATCCCAACCCTGCCAATCCACTCCATTTTGTCGTTAGCCATTAGCCTCGCAATACGCATGCGCCAATTAGCCTCGTTGTACGCATGCGCCTCTTTTTGACGTTCACTAGAGTCGTTGTTTCTTTTCCGGAGGACGGGAGCGAAACAAGAGAGAAAGGGAGATGAGGTAATAAGGTTCCGCAGATGATGGGCGAATGAGAGAGAGGGAAGGAAGATAGACTAACCTATCACCGTTTCAATTGCCCACGTGGTGTAGAAGGAAGGCGGGACCTTGTCGGCGACTGCCTATTAGAGACGGCTGACGTTCGCCGATATCGTCAACTGGGCGGGAGGGAGTGCCTCCACGATTGGCTCAGCCGCGACCAATGAGAAGAAGTTGCGCAGGATCCTCGCGCTTTGGCAGTTAGCGCTCCGTTCGCTCGCGCCCTTCCCCCACCCTCAGCTCTCGCGCTCCCTTCTCCCCCCTCAGTCGGCAGTTGGGCGCGCGGCGACTCCCCTCCCCGCCCCCATTGCTTTGCTCCGTCGGCGCGGTCGGTGTGGGTCCCGGCACCATGAGTGGGGACGGTGGGCGCGGGGACCCACCAGCCCCGAAGCAGCGGCGCTTAGATCCAGCTTGCCAACTGCAGAAAGAAACCGAGGCGGCCCAAGCGCTGGCTGACATGACGGCTTGGAGCGGCGGGAGCCTTGAAACCGCCAACCAGCAGGAGGCGCGCGACAGCCCGGCGGCGCAGGCGAAGGGGGGCCTGGAAACGGCGCGTGACCCACCCGCGGGGGGCTCTGAAACAGACGGCGCGGCGAAGGGGGGCCGCGAAACAGCCGCCCGGCCGGAGAGCGGGGATGGCCGCGAGGGGCGGAGGAAGAAGAAGGAGGCCCGGGAAAGGCGGAGGGCGGCCGAGGAGGAGTGCTCGGTCATCTCCGTGGGTGAAGAGGACGACGATGACGACGAGGAGGAGGAGGAGGAGGGCGGAGGAAGGCCCCAGCCCCCTCGCAAAACGGAGCAGTACTTGGAGGCGCTGGAGGCCGTGCAGCTGGAACTGGAGGCCGTGAACCAGCAGGCCAGCCGCACCTTCGCCCGCCTCAAGGCCAAGTTCGGCCACATGCGGCGCCCGCATCTGGAGCGACGGAACCGCATCATCCAGAACATCCCGGGCTTCTGGGTCACCGCCGTATCCTATCGCTTTTTGGGGGCGGGAAGGGAAGGAAACCCTACCAAAGCTACCTGAGGGCTCTTCCAGACAGCCATATAATCGAGAATACCAAGGCAGAAAATCCCACAATATCTGCTTTGAACAGTCCACACTGCCAGATAATCCAGTTCAAAACAGATAATGTGGGATTTTATTCAGCTGTGTGGAAATCCCCTGAGGCCCCATCTACACTCTGACCATAGGGTTGGTGTAGGTTTTTCAGGCTATATGGCCGTGTTCTAGAACAGGGGTCCTCAGACTGTTTAAAAAGAGGGCCAGGTCACACTCCCTCAAACTGTTGGAGGGCCGGATTATAATTTGAAAAAAGCAGAAATTAATTCCAATGCACAACGCACATATCTTATTTGTAGTACAAAAACACTGAAAAACAATACAATTATTAAAATGAACAATATAAAACATAAGCTTATTAGTCTTTCAGTGGGAAGCGTAGGCCTGCTTTGAGCTTTTTTTTTTTTTTTTTGTCGTGTCTGGAGCGACTTGAGAAACTGCAAGTTGCTTCTGGTGTGAGAGAATTGGCCATCTGCAAGGTCGTTGCCCAGGGGACGCCTGGATGATTTGATGTTTTTATCATCCTTGTGGGAGGCTTCTCTCATGTCCCCGCATGAGGAGCTGGAGTTTGTAGAGGGAGCTCATCCGCCTCTCCCCGGATTCGAACCTGTGACCTGTCGGTCTTCAGTCCTGCCGGCACCCACTGTGCCGTGCTTTGGGCTGATGAGATAAGATTGTTGTTGTTGTGTGCTTTCAAGTCATAGAATCCTAGAGTTTGTTAGACCTCGCGGGCCATCCAGTCAAACCCCTTTCTGCTAAGAAGCAGAAGAATCGCATTCAAAGCACCCCCTTCCAGCCTCTGCTTCAAAGCCTCCATAGAAGGAGTCTCCGCCACATGCCGGGGCAGAGAGGAGGGTGGTGGAGACTCCCTCTTTCGAATTCGTTTCAGACTTAGGTTGACCCTTAGCGAGGGCCGGGTAAATGACCTTGGAGGGCTGTACCTGGCCCCCGGGCCTTAATTTAAGGACCCCTGTTCTAGAACACGGCCATATAGCCCGAAAAACCTACAACAACCCAGTGATTCCAGCCATGAAAGCTTTTGACAATACTTTGACCATTTTCAAACCAGTATTGAAGACAGTGGTTTCGTTGTGCAAAGGATTACAAAGGAAATCCTGGAATCAAGTGCGTTCCCAATGGGGAATGACACAAACCCCGGAGCACTGATGTGCATTAGAGGCATTATTTCCTGCAATTTTGGCAACATTCCTTGTCTGACCATCACAGCTTGGAGTTAGTTTCAACCTGCATTACATGGCCAGTGTAAATGGGTGTTTTTGTTGAAATTGCACAGACCAAAGAGGAAGTTGTGAGGCTCTCAGAGGATGTTCCAATGTGGAATAAGCGATGGATGGGATAGGTATTCTATCCATTAAGTTTAAGATTGTCAGTGGTGGCTTTCATGTTCATTCAAAGTGCTGGATAAGATACAGATAAGTAGGTTCAGAACCATGGATAGCTCTGAATAAAAACCTGAGTGAATGTTTCACTCCAATGACATTCATACCAGTGGTTCCCAATGTTAGAATCACAGGGCCCATCCACACAGTCATATCATCCAGAATATCAAGACAGAAAAATTCACAATATCTGCTTTGAGCTGGGTTATCTGAGCCATATATTCCAGTTCAAAGCAGATAATGTGGAAGAGGCTTTAAATAATAGCATTGGAAGAGAACGCATTGGCCATCTAGTCCAACTCCCTGCCATGCAGGAAGAGCACAAAGTACCCCCAACAGATGGCCATTTTGGTTGTTTCTACTGAGAGCCCTTCCACACTGTCATATAACCCAGAATATTAAGGTAGAATAACCCACAATATCTGCTTTCAATGGTAATATCTGAGGCCCCTTCCATTCAGCTGAATAAAACCCCACATTTTCTGCTTTGAACTGGAATATATAGCAGTGTGGAATCAACCCAGTTCAAAGCAGATGTTGTGGGATTTTCTGCCTAGGTCTTCTGTATTATTTGGTTGTGTGGAAGGGCCCTGAGTCCACACTGCCTTATATCCCAGTTAAAATCAGATAATGTGGGATATTATTCAGCTGTATGGAACGGGACCTGACAGTACAAGTCTTGGGCCACTGTAGAACATTTCCTTTCCCCTATTGGTTTGTCATGAAGCCTGACAGGGCGTCCCTTGGCCAACAAGAGATAAACGTCTTCTACACTACTGAAGAAATGTTTTCCCTTCTGAATTTCCATCTTTCCTGTCTTGGCAGGAAATGACATGCAAATTAGGATGTCTTAACACCCCTCCATCCAAAATTCTCATTAGGTGAATTAAATAGGAAGACATACTCAGGTACCTTCTACACTGCCATATAAAATCCACTTTCCCTGCGTGGTCACTGCGATTTACACATATATGGTAAATTTATATGTGTAAATTCGCAGGTGACCACTAGGGAAACTATGTTTACAGGTAAGCAACCCATATATCTCCTTTGAACTGGATTATATGGCAGTGTAGACTAAGATAATCCAGTTCAAATCAGATAATGTGGATTTTCTGCTTTGATAACTTGCATTATCTGGCAGTGTTAGAAGGGGCCTGAGAAAGATGTGTGAATAGAGTTTTGTTTCATGCCATGGCAAGACTTTGATAAAAGAAAAAGAGGAGAAACTTATCATAGTCTATATTTATGGATAAATTGCACACAGAGCATGGGAGAGTTTAGATTTTTTTTGTTCCTGATTAATACAATGCATTTGTAACTCACTTGTCCTCCCAAGAAGATTAGAGTGTCACACATGAAGTTTTGTTCCTTGACTTTTAACTTTGCAGTTTCTCAACCATCCCCAGCTTTCAGCCATGATCAATGATCGGGATGAGGACACCCTGAGCTACATGACCAATCTGCAGGTGACACCTTTAGCAAGCCAGCTGTGCAGAGGCTAGGGTAGATAAAACTCCCAACTTAAAGAGGAAAGTAATCCAGTGTGGAGTTCTGGATGCTCTCTGAGGGATCCCCTGAGTCAGGGTAGTGATAATCAGTTCCCCCTGCTAGCCTTGATTCTGACATTCTTTGATATGCCAGGTTGAAGATTTCACCCATGCGAAGTCAGGCTGCAAGATCAAATTCTACTTCAACAGCAACCCCTACTTCCAGAACGAAGTCATTGTGAAGGAGTTCCAATGTGGTTCCTCTGGTATGCAGCAAGGAACAATATTTTAGAGGAGCAGAACACCAGGTATCAATCTGTGCTTGCTTATAGCTCTCCTATGTTTGCCTCCATCCACTTCAGGGAGAATGGCTTCACATTCTACCCCTATCCGCTGGTGGCGTGGCCAGGACCCTTCGGCTCATGGTCGGAAGAATTTTGAGATGAGTCGCAGCTTCTTCAGCTGGTTCTGTGACCACAGCTTCCCAGCAGGAGACCGCATTGCTGAGGTGGGAGCTACAACCTATACCTTGTTCTATATTTCTCCAGTATCCTTATTTATTTACTCTATTTATACCCTGCCGTTCTTTACACAGAAGGGGACTCAAGGTGGCTTACATATGGCAATTATTCAATGCCTTAAAACACATATAAAACATTCAACTTAAAAATAAATTCAATTTAAAATTAATACATGTTAAACATTTAAAACATTACATTCAATATTAAAATTCTCATACTCTTTTTTTTTGCCTTTTCATAGATCATTAAAGAGGATCTCTGGCCCAATCCGTTGCAGTACTACCTGATGGGCGAAGGTGGTGAAAATGGTGAAGAAGACAGGTGAGAAGGACACAAGACCGGTTGGAGTACAGATAGGACTGATATAAAGGATATTTTTAATCAGGGATCTAAACATTTTATTATGTACAGATGTGTATCCTGTCAAGGATCATGTGTGGCTAGAGCGATACTTACAGTTGTAAATATTCAAGACTCATGAAAGAGCCTTGTATTTACATCCAAGAGGTGATACATTTCTTCCCTCTTCTGTGTGTTTAGTGAGACAGAAAATGGTGATGACTTTGTAGTGATTGTGGATGATGATGGTGATGATGGTGAAGACGAGGAAGAAGAGGAGGAAGATGTACATGAGATCATGGATGAGGAGGAGGGTGGACAAGGTAAATGGTGGTTAAATAATTTAAAAGCTTTATTTTTAGACATCAAAGAGAAATAGTCCTTAATCTGGTAACACAGGACCTAGGGGCAATCGTGCGTCTTGTGCAGGGGTACTCAAACTTTTTAAACGGAGGGCCGGCCAGGTCACAATCCCTCATACTGTTGGAGGGCCGGATTATAATGTGAAAAAAAAAAAAGAATTCCTATGTACATTGCACACATCTTATTTGTAGTGCAAAAAAACCAAAAAAAACCACCAACAACACTTAAAACAATACAATAATTAAAATGAAGAACACTTTTAACAAATATAAATTTATTAGTATTTCAATGGGAAGTGTAGGTCTGCTTTTATCTGATGAGATAGGGTTGTTGTTGTTGTTGTTGTTGTGTGCTTTCAAGTAATTTCAGACTTTGGTTGACCCTGAGTGAGGGCCGGGTAAATGATCTTGGAGAGCCGTATCCAGCCCCCGGGCCTTAGTTTGGGTACATCTGGTCTTGTGAGATCACATGGTTTAGTAAGGACTTCCACATCCAGTGCTGGGAAATGAGACTTGTGGGAGAGGAGGGTGGGCACTACAGTAAGTCTTTTATTTTATTTTTTTAAATAAAGATTTTATTTACATACAGTAAATCTTTTAGCTTGAAAAAAAAATGGAAAAGAAATTAAATCCCAAAAGAAAACTTTGATTTTACCATTTCATATGAAGAGGAACCGTTTTACTACACAAGTTTGGTCTCCATTGGGAGGCTTGGAATCAAAGTATAGCCTAGCAGATACCAAGAACTCACTATATAGCATCAAAGTTTATGTGTGCCAGAAAGATATGGCTCTGGTTAACATGACTGAGAAGCATCTTAACATATCTTACTTTCCTGATACAGGTGAAGCTGTAGAAGAGGTCCTTAGTGAACCAGAAGATGATGGTGCTGGTGCTAAATCCTCTGCCTCTGAGAAACCACATGAAAAAGATTCTGAGGTGGAAGAAGATGGCTAGATCATTCTGGAGAGACAGTGTGTCTGATTGGACTTTCCCACAGTGACCTCAGTGGCACTTTGTCTCTGACCAATTGCACTTGGATATGGCAGGATATGATGGTGATGGTGCAAGATTTTAGGAGCAGTCACATAGATTATTTTCTGTCTTCTTATTTATTGCAGTGACTGCATTTTTTCTGCCTTTTGGGGGCAGAAAGCCACCACACTTCAGCACCCACCCTTCAATAGTCTGATGCTTGGCATCTCTGCCTGCCTGCCTGCTTGCCTGCGTATGGGGCTATATGCATATATGCCCTGTCCCCTGATGGCTACTCAGGGTATTGCCTGCCCAGTGGCCTTTTCAAATCAGCTCAGGGTTCCCTTGTTCCATTCAGCATTATTAAGCTGCTGATTTTCGCACTTCCCTGCACTTCTGTCTTTGAAGATTTAACTCACTCTGTAGATACTTCAAATTTAGATAGTCTGCTGGAGGCCAGTTAGTGCCTCTGGCTCTCAAAACATAATCCCAGCCTTCTCCCTGTTCAGCTATTAAAGCCCGACCATTTTGGGACTCATCTGTCGCCAGCATTCTGCCAATTTAAATGGATTTAAAATAGTTCCTGCTGGTCCAGATGGCGGCCTCACACCTGTTGGCTTAGTTGAAGCAATAATAGCTCTCTGGTTGCACAGTAGTCTTTTTGGGGTTATTGTGTGAGGAGACTGGCTGCTTCCCCCTGTGTGGTGGTGAAACATTTCTTGGAACAAGACAACATCAAGGACGTGTGGGCTTTCACAACCCCTTCTGCTCTATGTATAAATGGATAGCAATGTTTTTAATGCATCATCCCCAGTTGGATTCCCTCCTTGTCCTCTTTACCCTATAGAGGCTGTTCTATGCAATGCTACTGATATTTGTAGAAAAGCAACTGTTTTCCTTGGCTGAGATTTTTTGTATATTTCGTATCAGGACTTTGTATGTTTGTTTTTTTTTTTACTATAAAAAAGTACTTAATATACAGAGAGCTTTCCAATGTGGTGTGAGGCTCCTTTTTTGGGAGGTCTAGACCTATAGCTGTTCATATTCTGTACTCAGAATACAGTGTATAAATCATCAAGTGTTACTCTCTGATTTGTTGTGCACTATCCACAATGTTCTTTGTATGTTTGCATTCTGGAAAGAGGTGTGGGTAGAATAGGAGGAGCCTAAAGAAATCAAGGAATGTGTAACATGAAGAATGGGCCTATAAAATCATGACAGGGACAGGTAGGTAAACTTTTCAGTGTCAAGCTACTTTATCTTCACAAGTCATCCCAAAAATTCGCACACTTGCTGAAATTCAAACGATTTTGGAGATTTGTTGTAAGAGCTTTAAGGGGAAAATGCTGCTAGCCTGTTCTTTGAAATTATGTACCAGATCCTCTAACAGGACCTCACTGCTTTTTTAATTTGGATTTTATAGTGGATTGTTAACTTTGGATCTGCTGCAGTGGTTCTCAACCTGGGGTCCCCAGATGTTTTTGGCCTTCAACTCCCAGAAATCCTAACAGCTGGTAAACTGACTGGGATTTCTGGGAGTTGTAGGCCAAAAACATCTGGGGACCCCAGGTTGAGAACCACTGTGCTAGAGTAAAAAGTGTGTGAAATATGCAACTGGTAGGTACTACAGTTAAAGCCAGTCAGTTGGGGAAAGCGTATGCATGTGTGAAAGAATATCACATTTTTGGAGTCTAGTGCACTAAAAAAATATGTGTGCCACAATTAGAGTGCACAGTAGTATTGAGTATTACTGTAATTTAAGTGCTGGGACAAAGTAAAAGGGGAAGTTGCTTCAGAAGTGCCATGAGTCTTGCAAACATGGAGTAGCCACTGGGAAAAGAGGAAAAAAAGACAAGTGAAGAAAGCTACTTGCTTTTAAAGGATTTTCTGCCTCGTTTTCCCAAGGTTAGACTGCTTCTGAAGCCAAATAGAGGACTGGGAGGCGATTAAGGATCCCAGCCAAAAGGGGAGAGGGAGAGGAGAGGCAGCAGCCGTTGCTAAACAAGGTCCCACAAAGTGATTTTTTCCAACTTCTTCACCTGAAATATAGCTTACCCCAACTAGTATTCATTGAGGGTCTCCCTTTAAAATATTAATTAGCACTGACCCTGTTTAGTTTCCATGATCAGATAGGACTTTCCTTGTCCCACTTTAAATCCTACAGAGTTCTGGGGCTTGTAGTTCAGGGAGCCATAGGACTTCTCGTGCTGAGAATGGGAAAAGCTGCTCCCTAAACAACAAACCCCAGAATCCTGAAGGCAGCCACAGGATTGAAAGCAGACACAAACTCTAAATCCCATTTTTGGGTTATTGCCTTTGGAGTATTTAGTCCCTATAATTTCTTCCAGTAAGTTAGGGGAATGTTCCATGAGATGTGCTTGTGATTCCCTTTTGCAGTTCTAAGTAGATTTGGGAACTAATCCTAGGACCCCAGGATAGCCCTCCTAGGATACAGCTATACTGCAGGATTTATTTATTTATTTACAGCTTTTATATTCCGCCCTTCTCACCCCGCAGGGGACTCAGGGTGGATTACCGTGTACACATATATGGCAAACATTCAATGCCAATTTTTGACATACAAACATATACAGACATACACAGAGGCTATTTAACTTTTTTCTGGCCGCCAGGGGAGCTGTTGCTTTCATCGTCCATCTGCGATGCTGATGAAGTACTTCTGCATTCCCCGCATGCTTCCCTGCTGGAATGCTTTGCTGGAGTCTTCTTTATGGCCTCATAAATTAGTTAATTTAGCCTCCCCACACTTTAATGTGGTACCTAATTTTCCTACTTGACAGATGCAACTGTCTTTCAGGTTGCAAAGGTCAACAACAGGCTACACACAATTGGTTGGAAACCCACTCCAACCCGGGCTGGCTTCAAACTCGTGACCTTTTTGTCAGAGTGATCTTTAATGCAGCTGACACTCAGCCAGCTGCACCACAATCCCGGTGCAGTTTGAAACCATTTTTAATTGCCATGGCTCAGTACTATGTAATCCTGAGAGTTGTAATTTGGTGAAGCATCAGCATTCTTTGGCAGAGAAGGCTGAAGACCTTGTAAACTACTTCCCCCATGATTCCATAGCACTGAACCATAACAGTGAAAGTGGTGTCAGACTGCAATAATTCCAGTGTAGATTTACCCAAGGACTTTGGAATCACCTAGGATGCCCCGATGCTGTAAACATGTATGCTATTTGATAACACTGAGAATACCATTGTTCAGTGTATGGAATCATGGGATTTGTTAGTTTGTTGAGGCACCAGGTCTCTTTATTAAAGAAGGCAAAATAGCTTGTACCGTAGAACTACAATTTACAGGATTCCATAGCATTGAGCCAGGGAAATTGAAGTGGTGTCAAGATGCATTCATTCTGTCTACAGCATAGACTTGCCCAAGGAAGCTGAGGCAGGAGAAACAGGAGAGGCTTCTTGAGGGAAAGGTTAGGCTGCCTATTTCTCTGGTTTTCTTTTAAATTGCTGGAAGATTTGGTATCCTAACATCTTTTAAACCAATTCTAAGCAGACAGCAACTGCAATGCATATCTTTTTTTTGGCCAAATTTCAAAGGGTGCACTTTTTGCAGCTGCACATTACATTTGGCAGCAAATATGTTTTGGTTTTTTGTTTGTTTCAAGGTTTTGAACATCGAGGTGTGCATTACATTTGATGGTGCACTAGATTTGAGTAAATACAGGTATATATGGACAGGAACAAAAGGTCGTAGTAGCTACTAAGTACTAACTTTCCATTGCTGGATTCAGGTAAATTTCTGTGTAGTTTGCTACTAGCTTATGGAAAAAATGCATGTTATATTTAGGAATGAAGACAAGTGTTTATAGAATGATTTATCTTAGCTTAGCCTTTTTTAACATGCTAGCTATTTAAGATTTTTAGTGTGGGAAAGACTTTAAATTTCTTATTAACACTTTTATGTTTTCTGAAGTGACATGCTACCAGAATAATTTTTCCATGTTTTATTTTCTCTTATTGTTAAGAATATTCAACTAGATCTTAGAAAACATTAGTTTGACTATGTAGCCTGCTAACTTGAGAAACAGTACATAATATCTTCTGATATACTTTGCCAACATGGTTGCCTAGAAATTGGAACTACAGGAACAGAATATCCCTTTAACCTTTGCTTTTCTGAATATTATTACGTTCTGCAGGAATCTGGTAAATATCTCCTGTTTCAGCATTTCCGTCTCAATTTTCACCTTCTATCTTCCACTTGTCAGTCAGTTATCACTTGTAATGTCTGTTGATAAATACCTATACTTCGGATAATGTGTTGGAAGTAAGAGGACACTTAATCCACACAGTTGCTGAACAGCCTGATGAAAGTGGATTTGTTAGAAGATCCTGTGTTCTGTCTGGAAATGTTAATTTTGACCTTCAGTCACTACTATATCTGGAAAGTTAAGTTGCTTTGCTGATTAAGAAAGCTTTGAGGTTAATGGATAATAGGACAAGCTATAAAACATTAGTAAAGGATGCAGCTAATTTAGAATATGGTGTGATGTGGTTTGAATGCTAGACTAGGAAACGGAGCCCAGGGTTCAAAACACCTCTTAGCCATGGAAACCTGCTGAGTGATGATGGGCAACTCATTCTCTCTCAGCCTCAGTGGAAGGAAAAGGCAAATCCCCTCTGAACAAATGATGCTAGGGTTGTGATAGGGTTACCTGAAGGCAGAGGTGTTCAACTTGCAGCCCTCCAGGTGTTTTTAGACTCCAGCTCCCAGAATTCCTGGCTATTGGATATCTTCATTCTGGCTTCTGGGAATTGGAGGTCCAAACAGCTAATGAGCCGCAGGTTTGAAATCTGTGCCTTAGAGCCAATGCAAGTCAGAAATGACTTGAAGACACATAAGTGCATATCATGATCTAATTGGGTGTCGTCAGCAAATTTTGATTTAATCTAGAAACTAATAATTGAGGCTTGGGTTCTTGTTTCCCAGAGGCAAAATGTCTGTTTTTCTTTTACTCTTTTGCCAAACAAGAAAGTAACACAGAGAAGGACCTTTCTTTTCAACCTGTAGTACTCACAACATCCAAAAACAAATAACCTGGTGCAATTTTAAAAGAAGCGTGCTCAACCTCCTTCTGTAATCAGAGACTTATTACAAATGTGTTAAAGCTGTAACAGAATACTGGAGGACTTGCGTACTGATCTCTAGAATTAAACGGATGCCTTCCACATATGAGAAGTTACATTTTGAAGCAGGCACTGGCATTGCAATAACACAATACCTTTCAGTTCCCATTAAGTCTGCCACTTGTGGTTCTGTTAGGAGGAATGTAATGAAGGGTATTTCTTTTCCAAGTTTACACAAAGCACCTAGATGGTCTCCCATCTAAATGTAGTCAAGAAGATCTACTCTATTCGATGCAAATAGAGCCTAGAAGGATTCCATGTTCCCAGCCATAACCATATTAGTCATGAAGTCAACAAATTTTTAAAAAATATTAAAAATTCTAGAATGTAGGCCCATACTTGCAATCATATTGTCTCAGAAAAGCTAGACCTCCCTCATTTGAGGTTTAGAACTCTACCTTTCTATTCCAAAATAAATCACTAACCTTTTTGTCACAGAACTGTGAAGATGTGTTTCAGTGCTATGTATTGTAAACCTTATTGAAAATACTTGCAACCATGTCTGTGTAGAGCTATACTAGAAGCAAAAAGACCCAAACATCCGACAAACACCAGATCTTTTTATTTTGCTATGTCATGAAGTCAACAAATTTTTAAAAAATAATTTGTTGACTTCCCTGCCTAATTGATCTATTATGAGAAAAAAAAACCTTACATGTGTTGTGCCTTCAATTCATTTCCAAATAATGGCGACTTTGATCCAACTTAGGGTTTTAATGTAACCATTTATTAAGAAGAGGTTTGTGATTGTTTTCCTCTGAAGCTGAGAAAATGATTTGCCCAAGGCTGGACAGGAATTCCAACCGTGGTCTCCAGAGTGGTTGCCAACTGTCAATATGTTGCTTGGTCTTTATAAATAAAGTCATTCAATCATGTTGGTTATATTTCAGAAATGCCAAGCATATATAA